ACATATGAAAGGGTTATTATAAAACTGTTGGAAATAGTCATGGAAAGCTTTAGTTTGATGCATGGTCGAAAAAAATAGCTCGTAGTTTATTTTGTTTGATAAATGTAAAATAAATCGTGCTGTTGGTTTCATAAATAGACTAAGGCCTATGTAGATGAAAATCAATGGAATTACCTGCACTGAATTTTAACTATTGCTTTCAATTCACTGATCTTGAATATTGTTATCGATGACCTATACAGTATGAGTCTTAGCACTTGCATTTATACATTCCCAAAAACAAACCTCAATGTTAACAGAGTTATACATACTATATAGCTTACCTATAAAAGTCATTTTTGTCTGTCTGTGCGGGTACCTTGTGACCTTTTTAACTGACAAACTGTGGGGTTTACGTATCAAATAAGTACACGGATACCACGCGATATGCCCCGGGATGAAAAAGCGCTATTCGTAGTTCACGTCTGTCAAATTTTAAGTAGTTAAATTAACAAATGTATTCCTTTCATAAGCACAGGGTGGCGCTAGAGCACGCATCTGCGCATGCGCGAAAACGCCGGCTCGTGGTGGTGGGAAGGGGGAATTATCATTCGCGTTAAAAATGCAACAAAAAATACACAACGCTGAGGAAAATTCTTCACAGTGTGATGTCCTCCCCCCCCCACCCAAATGTGTGCACTTACTACTATAGGGTCGATAGATACTACTATAGTCCTTAGATACTATTACTGTAGAGCGGGCGGGGGGGTGGTGGGGGTGTAGCAGCCCAGCCCCAGCCTGCAAAGGTGCCACCTCTGCCGGCTGGGCAAGCTAGGTGAGGCCGGGGGCTCTGTACGGGACTAGGCCTCACCACGGCACTCTGTTAAGTTAGTAGTTAACTGCTATCGAGTCGATATATACCACCACAGTCAGGATGCACTGCTGTAGTGATAGCAGATACCACTACAATTAGTATGCACTGCTGTAGTGATAGCAGATACCACCACAGTCAGTATGCACTGCTATAGTGATAGCAGATACCACCACAGTCAGTATGCACTGCTGTAGTGATAGCAGATACCACCACAGTCGGTATGCACTGCTGTAGTCATAGCAGGATACCACCACAGTTGGTATGCACTACTGTAGTGACAGCAGATAACAACACAGTCAGTATGCACTGCTGTAGTGATAGCAGATACCACCACAGTCAGTATGCACTGCTGTAGTGATAGCAGATACCACAGTCAGTATGTACTACTGTAGTGATATCAAATACCACTACAGTCAGTATGCACTGCTGTAGTGATAGCAAATACCACTACAGTCAGTATGCATTGCTGTAGTGATAGCAGATACATACTACAGTCAGAATGTACTGCTGTAGTGATATCAGGTAGTACTACAGCCAGAATGCAATGCTGTAGTGATATCAGATAGTACTACAGTAAGTAGACACTGCTGTAGTGATAGCAGATACTACTACAGTCAGTATATACTACTGTAGTGATAGTAGATACCACCACAGTCAGTATATACTATTGTAGTGATAGTAGATACTGCTATAGAGTCGGTAGATACTACTATAGAGTTAGTAGATACTACTACAGTCAGTATATACTACTGAAGTGATAGTAGATACTGCTATCGAGTCGGCAGATGCTACTATACAGTAAGGAGATAGTATTCCAGTCAGTGGATACCACTACGGTCAGTAAATACTGCTACAGTAAGTAGATGCTACTATACAGTCAGTAGATACTACTACGGTCAGTAGCTACTACTATTATACAGTCAGTAGATACTACCGTATAGTTAGTAGATACTACTCACAGTAGATACTACTACGGTCAGTAAATATTACTACAGTCAGTAGAAACTACTATAGAGTCAGTAGTTACTCCTGTAGAGTTAGTAATTACTATAGTCAGTGGATACTACGACAGTCAGTAGATACAACTATAGGGTCAGTAGATATTGCTATTGAGTCAGCAGATACTACTATAAGGTCATTAAATACTACTATTGAGTCAGTAGATAATACTACAGTCAGTAGAAACCACTATAGTCAGTATATACTTCTGCAGAGTCAGTAGATACTGCTATAGTCAGCAGATACTGCTATAGAGTCAGCAGATAGTACTATGGAGTTAGTTACTACTATAGTCAGTAAATACTACTATAGAGTTAATAGTTACTACAATAGATCCAGTAGGTACTACTATAGTAATTAGATACTACTGCACAGTCAGTAGTTATTACTATAGTCAGTGGATACTACTATAGTCAGTAGTTACTACTATAGAGTCGGTAGATACTACTATAGAGTCGGTAGATACTGCTATAGAGTTAGTAGTTACTACTATAGTCAGTTGATACTACTATAGAGTGAGTTGATACTACTATAGAGTCAGCAGATACTACTATAGAGTTAGTAGTTACTACTATAGAGTCGGTAGATACTACTGTAGGGTCAGTAGATACTACTACGGTCAGTAGATACTACTACTACGGTCAGTAGATACTACTATACAGTCAGTAGCTACTACTGCGCTCAGTAGATACTACTGTAGAGTCAGTAGATCAACTACAGAATCAGCACTTACTGCCATAGAGTCAGTAGATACTACTGTAGAGTCAGATACTACTAAAGAGTCACTAGATACTACTCACTCTATTGTATGGAGGGGTGTGTAGGTATATATGCCTACGCGGATGTAAAAATATTTTGTGAGGGGGAGGGTCGAGAATTTTCGGAAACCTTTTAGATCAACTTTTTACCCCCCACTTTCTATAACTCTTTGGACTTTTGCAAGCCTCTTATAATTTTGTTGATGGACAAATGGACAGACAAATGGCATGCCGGGCTTTCACAATAGCTTAGTATTTGTGTATGTATATGTTATGTTTTTAAGAGAAGTTTTGAAATATATTTGTGCCCCCGGGCAACACTGGATACTTCCCGCTAGTGAACTATAAGTTCAAGTAAATGTATCGGAAAGTTATAATTGACTTTGATATTTTCCAAAATGTAATGGAGATTTTTTTTGACAAATAACTGGTCACAAACATGCATGTTGTTTTTTTGTGTACACATTTCCTCCAGTATACTTTTTCTTGTTCACAACTTATAGATCATGACTTAAAGCTTTCGTGACTGCAGGAATTCATATTCTTTGAGTCTTTTGGTAAAATCACGTAGACTGTATTCTTGGTTCTTTCGGTAAAGTCACGTAGAAGGGAAACAATAAAATAATACAAATATAAAACAATAAAATTCTCACGACGTTTCGACTGCAACACAAGCAATCATCATCAGGTGTGAAAACCACAACAAGAAAATTTTATTGTTTATATTTTTATTATTTTATTGTTTCCCTTATACGTGACTTTACTGAAAGAACCAAGAATATGAATCCCTGCAGTCACGGTTTGTTATTTCACTACGTGACTTTACCGAAAGACCCAAAGAATATTCACAACTTATATTTCATACATAGGTCAGAGCTGTATCCCATTTTCACTCGTAGGAACTGATGTAAACTTCATAACACTTTTAACGGTGCATTTCTGTTTCAAATTTTTGTCAGTTTTGGTAATATAGTATTGAACGACTCCCTACGAAATTGATTTGAAATTGCATACGTGGTGGTGCACACCTGTAACCCAGTGATTTAAACTAAATTAAAACGAAACTATTTTTGTTTTACCAACTAAGCCCCACTGAGCTGTATAGATTTTTTTTTAGAAGAGACCTGGCCGCAAATGATAGCTCAACGAAGTGGCTTTTCATCATGTGGCAATTTCTCGTGGCCATATACTCTCAACACATGTTGATTCTAAATGTGGAGGGAAAAACCGGAGGACCCGAAGAAGAATCCACCTGACCACAGGGAGAACATGCTAACTCAAAGATACAGGTGTCAGGGTCGGGATCGACTTGGGGATCATCTTGTATGAGACACCCACCTGAAGGGCTACTAGGTGGCCTGTATAAGGAGTTCAGCAAGTAGGTTGTTGACTTATCTGCAAGGGCTTGTTGGTGTTTTGCCCTTACATTCCTACATTTTCTCTGGGCACTTTCGGCTTCCTTCCACACACAAAAATGCTCTATCAATAATAATCAAAGCAGGACCCACCGGAATCATTCTTCACACTAAAGTTAATGTTTCTTTGGGTAAATAAACGAGTGTTGTTATGAATAGTGTACTGTAGTAACATAGTTGTGTTGTGACTGAATTAGAAGTTGCTGTCATTGGACCAAAACTGTACGATGACTGGTATGCAGTGGTTGTTTTATAGACAATCTACCATTCACTGCGCCATGTTAATGTGGAGTGGGGATTCATTGACTGCCATGTTAATGTGGAGTGGGGATTCATTGACTTTTGGGTAGTTTTAAAAAATTAACCAAACTCACAGTCAATATTAAAAAGTCAGTTCGAGTGAGTACAACTGACACCATTATATTTATTGAGTTTTTCTCTCTTATTCTTGGTTTATCAAGAAAGTAATTGACATAGTATTCCTAGGGATTTTTTTTCTTCGTATATGCTGATGATAACCAGATTGTAAATATATGAACCTTATGGCGGTATCCCTGGGTACCATAGTACCCCAGTTCTCGCATAATGTCCGTGATGTCATTTTTAGTCTGTTGATGGCCGGCGATACGGCAGTCGACTCATCTAGACCAGCTGTACACGATGCACCACTACGGTGCGCACGAGCGTTTAGGGTTTCGGCGCAGTCCTCGCTGTGTTTCGACATTGCAGAGTGGCACTGATGTCGGATTGATTGGTACCCCAGTCGCGGAGTGAAGTACACCCTTGGAAAAAATAGTGTCCCATAAATAAAATATTTAATTGCCTTGGCCATTTTGTATTATTTGGTACCCCGGGGTACTGCCATAAGGATCATATGTCCAAAATTGTGAAATATCTCTTTCATTGGACTTTTGACTTGAATGAGCACACATTGGACTGAGTGAGTGAATTGATGAACTGGCATCATCGGCACAGGCGACACCGCTGCCCACACCAGCCCACGGGGATCTACACACAAACGGAGAAGCCATGCCTCATTACAGAGTATGTGGACCGCTACCACGAGTATGGGCTTGGGGGACCACGTGAGTCCTTCCGTCCACAGCACATGTATCAGGGACCGCAAGGCAAGATGGATGGCATCACCACCTTTCGGTAGGACGCAATTGTGCCCACCCCTCTTTCTACATCTGTTTTCATTACAGGTTCAGGTAGCTGTTAATGCTAGTACGTTTCATTTGTAGTCCCAGTATTATGCAGGTTATATATGGGGAAAAAAAACAACTATCGGCCAAAGTCAGTACGTTAGGATGAAAGATGTAAGATATAAAATTATACAAATGAATCCTGTGCAATAAATATGGTAGCATAGCAGTAGCACTGCTGTATGTTTTTCCCACCACTTAAACATCAATGCTACCTTCATGTACTGCTAGCTGTACATAGTTGATGTAGATGCAGAAAGGCAAAGATTGTTGTAGACAAAGTCATGCTTGTATGTGACATTTAGCATGGTATATTAATGTTGTAATGATAATGATAAGCTTGAGGATCATGCTGCTTCTGATCATGATTAAGCACGTTGATGATTATTCTGCTAATAGATAATGCTTATGGTGTTTGCGCAGATCTGTAATGATAATAACTACGGTGATATAGGAATAGGTTTTACCCTTTTAACTGGCACAAAAACTGACACCTTTATTCAAGGCATCATGTTTGCAGTTAAAAGGGTAAAACCTATTCCTATATCTTGTTACTGGCAAAGGAGGTCTCATAATGTAAACTACGATGATGACGATGATGATGATAAGGATGGTGTGTGAGGCTGTTCGCAATGTGACAAATGCATCACTGTGACGATGGCAGGGCTGACTATATTCCCTACGAAGCCGGGAAACGTCCCGTGCGCTCCGTCGAGGCCTACAAGCCTGTGCCTGGCACAATGAGCATGGACACGACCTACAAGACAGACTTTAACGAGATGCCCATCCACCTGGTGCTGCCAGCCCGGCCCATGGAGAACCAGCACCAGGCGCACGGCAAGATGGACACCATCCCAACTTACCAAAGTACAATCTCCCCTTCTGTACTTTGGGAGCATGAGCACATTGCATCATCGTATTTATCAAGCGTCAGCGAAATAAACCAACGCCTATTTTGTGGTGACAGCATGCAGTGTATTTTTTTATGATAAATTATTTAATTTACAAATCGATAGAAATAAGATTTTCTCTGAAAACTATATTTAAATGGAATTAACCATTTGTTTTGGTACCATTTGTCATATTGTATTGTGTGTAAGTGAAATTATATACTTGAAAGTAATGGTTCAATATTGCAATGTAAAAAAGTCTTATTATAATTAGTGCTCAAACTACCATCATACTTGAAACTGACATTTAATTAAATTGGAAGTTTCTGTAACAAAAAGCATTACAAACACAAAGCACTTGCATTTTGCCTTATATAGATGACTACAGGCAGTGGGAGATTCTGAAGCGTGAAAATGCCAAGCCCAACTACACGTACGTCCCATCAACAAACAAGTACGGCTACATGACCACCTTCCAGGACGACTACCATGCCAAGCAGGGCGGCCCCAGTACCAGCTTCAAGCCAGCCAATGTTATGAAGCCGTCAGAAGGCGCCTTTGAAGACAGGACGACGCACCGCTCCGCCTACGTGCCTCACCAGCTGGAGGCTCGCTTTGCACGCGAGCCCGAGCGCTACAAGCCCAGTACGCAGCAATTCGACAGTCTCACCACCTTCCGCCGCGACTTTCAGTCGCTCGGGCCGCAGGAGCCCGTGAAGAGCTTCAAGCCGGAGCACGTGAAGGTGGGCTCCGATGACAAGTTCAACGACAGCACCGAGTTTAATGACAAGTTTAAGGTGTGGCCCCTGTCGCCACCGCCGGTGCGCAAACAGGCCATGTATCACCCGCCCACGGGTACCATGGACACGACGACCACCTCGCACGACGACTACGTGCAGCACAGACAGGAGCGCATACTCCTGGCGCGGCCAATCTCGCGCGACCGCCGCCTCTCTCTGCCGTTCGACGGCCACACGACCATGCGCGAGGCATACAAGCCCTGGGCCGCCCAACGCGAGCCCATGATCAAGCACGTCGAGCAGATGCAGCGGTCGCTCGGCAAGTTCGACGACATGACCACCTTCAGGGAGCACTACGTGCCGCTACCGCTGATCCCCATGCACAGCTACAAGCCGAAGGGCGGGGCTGTTAGGAGTAGTGCACCATTTGAGAGCGGCACCATGTACCGCTCCGAGTACACGCCCAAGAAGGTGGCTGTCTGCCCGGCATCTTACCCGCAGCCGCTTGGGTATGCCTTCCAGGAGAAGGATACGCGAGGCCACCTCTACTTCCGCCGTCTCTCCGACGCGCACAAGATGCAGATTGCTGCGGTGCCTAAGCTAAACGGCATAGAGAAGCCATTCACCAATGGGCTGCTGGAAACTCAGCCCAAAGAGCTGATGTCTCTTGCCTAACTGGCTTGCAGACAGTTTTTTTGTCAGAATATGTTTTATGTTGCCAATTTACTCTGATACGAATTTATATTTAGTCAACAAATAACTATTTTTGCATATTATTCCAGGGATGTTCTAAAGGAGTAATTTAGTGCCTAAGGGATCCAGATTATTAATTCATGTGTGGTTTTGCTACAGAGATGTTTTAACTTGTAATTATCCAGTGGTGATGTGTGTAAGTATATGCAGAACTTGTGACAACACAGCTGATAAGATGCTGATGGAAAATGCAGTGGAAATCTGAAAGTCAGGCTCAAAATATAAAATGCAATTATTAAGCCAGAGTTCATGCTGTAATGGGTTTTCTGTAAAAAAAAATACGTGTTAATAAAACATACATGATTAGTGTGTTTGTCTAGTGTGGTCATTTCAGTAAACTCTGCGATTAGATGGCTATTGATGACGATGAGAACATCAGTAAGTAAATGTAAAATTGCTGCATGTGCCATTGCTAGAGGAAGGGCCTCCGCTATAAGGAAGCATTAGAGAGCCCGTACATCTGAGTGTCAGTCAAAAAAGATTGACATGCATTGCACTTATTCCAGTGTTTTAATAGTTAACCACTAAGATCAATGTGTTTGAGAAAAATTACGTAAAGATGGGACTCACTTTATTTTGGCTACGGATTGGTACATTACAGTGATAATAACTATCTTCATTTAAATGTGGATATTCATATCTTCTGGTAAATGGTATTGCATCGCAATGGGCACTTTCTTGGTTCAGTAAAAGATATAAATTATTGAAACATAGTGACGGAAGTCCAGATGTTTTTGATAAAATTAACATAAATTTTTATTTAAAGCTTTCTTGACTGCAGGGATTCATATTCTTAGTTCTTTCGGTAAAGTCACGTAGAAGGGAAACAATAAAATAATAAAGATATAAACAATAAAATGCTCACGACGTTTCGACTGCAACACAAGCAATCATCATCAGGTGTGAAAACCACAGTAAGAAAATTGCTGTGAATTTTATTGTTTTATATTTGTATTATTTTATTGTTTCCCTTCTACGTGACTTTACCGAAAGAACCAAGAAAATGAACATAGTTCATCTCAATGACATTAACTTCCTTGAAAATGAAAAACACGTTATTATCTAAAGTACAATGAGAACAAAATGTTTGATCCGGAATGTTTATTATTTTGCCATTCCATCGTTTATTACAATCCTTACAAAAGCAATTCTGTGCTAACTAGTTTCCAAAGCAATAATTCATACATTTTGCATGTTAAGAAATACCATACTTTAGGCACTATTGTGATACTTTGATTAAAAAAATATTAATAAAATAAATCCCATTTCCCTCCCCTTCCCTCCAACAACAACAAAAAAATCAATCCTTTACAAAAACAACGTAGAATTACACCATATTGCACTTTATAAAAGTTCCTTATAAATATTTACAGGAATACAATATATTTTACAAGTCATCCTATAAATTAATATATAAACTCCATAATTATGACCCATTGCAAGGAAATCAATTTTTCCACGTCAAAGCAAATGTACACGCATTTTGTTTTGAAATGCAGAACAAATATGATGGAGGCAATCTATGACAGTGTGTCAAAGTAAATGTCCTGCAAAAAATGTGCAGTAAGGTCTAACAGAAGTAAGCATCGTGACACTGCAGCCTCATCTGGTAAACAAAATTATTTTTGCAGATGCCAAAATAACAGTGATTCATGGGCACGGTTCAGGTTAGAATTGTAATTTTACATTCAATCCGCTGTTAGCTCAAAATAACCATTTTTGGAGTGTGGTTGGTGAATGAGATATATGGTACACCAATTTTCATCACCATACACGGCTCAACGTTACCTCCAGATCTATCTGCATGAATTGCCTCCGAGATTTACAGTCAGATTTAGAGATGTATCTACTAATATTGTACATCAAACCGACATACGAATGCATTTTTGATGCAGACATTCTCAGCATCTAAATGCTTTCTTTAAATCACCAGTTAAAGTACAATTCCAATTTTACCACGGCTTCATAGCGTGAGACAAAGCAACTTTCCTCTTGCAACTCACAGCAGTCCAGGATGAGATGATCAACTTGCTATACTTGATACATTTGTTGCTAAAACTCAACTTTTGAAACGGGGATCTATCTTGGAACCAGCCAGCCACCTCCTAAGCTGTTAAGTTTAATGCATAACACGACACAAACAGAAAGCCATGCATAACCTGGCCGGAACGAGTCAGGTGGATGAAGGTAGAAATCTCACCTCTTATTTTGATTGTAGGATTTATTTAAACCCCTCGTCTAATACTGCACTTTATATTTCAGAGATTAATAGCATTAAAACAATAACATTTTAATTAGTTGTTTTTAACGTAAATTGTTAACTTAAATAATAGACACACACGGAGTTGACCTATCACATTATAAACTAAACCTATGTAATTCTAGATTTGAAGCTTTCGTGACTGCAAGGATCCATACTCTTTGGTTCTATTCGGTAAAGTCACGTAGGTAAAAGAAAACAAAAATCACGACGTTTCGGCCACAACACAAGTGGCCTTCATCAGGTGAAGGTACCAGACTGTCTCGAGGACAGCGCTGGAGTGAAGGTCGCGGTCTAAGCTTGGCTGTGTTCACTCCAGCGCTGTCCTCGAGACAGTCTGGTACCTTCACCTGATGAAGGCCACTTGTGTTGTGGCCGAAACGTCGTGATTTTTGTTTTATTTTTACCTACGTGACTTTACCGAATAGAACCAAAGAGTATAAACCTATGTAACTTTAATTATCCAGAATTACTGTGTAACTATGAAGCACCATGGGTAATCAAAACGCACTTTAACAGTCGACGAGGCAGTCCGCAATTCCCTCTCAGTGCCACGGAATGCGATGCGGAGAGAGAGAGTTCTACGCACTCCCGTTTAGGCACCGCACTTTCCCCGCCCGCTACCCATACGCCTCATTACTCATCACAATAACTATAATCCACTCTTTACTAACACGAGAAGAACCCCGTTGAGAGAGGAAGGGAAGAGAGAAATAGCAAACTGATGATAACAGTGCAGCTCCCCTTGAAAGGTAAAGTGTAATTAACAGCGAAACTGAAGTTTAGAGCGTGAAACGCCAGAACCAACGCGTCTATCTTACCTGATTATCGTGCGACGAAATCCTTGACAAAACTCTCCTACAGATTATATGACTCATAGTCTGTCGAGGGGATGGATGGGTGGGAGACCACACCAAGTTGACAGCCGGCGCTCTCTCTCGTGCCGTTCAAAGCCGACGATATTTTTGCAATTGGACAAGATGATAAATTACCATTGGCTCTGAAACGTGTAAAAACTACGTTTGGGAATTGCGGATGATTTCTCCACATTGCATTAGCAAGGCCAATGGGAGCAATTGGGCGCCATGCGTGTAGAATGAGTTATACATTTTTACGTGTTAATGTTATATTTTTACTTGGAAATAAGCAAAAATTAAAAGACAGTACCGATAGAAAAGGGAAGAATAAAGGGTGCACATAGAGCTTCACAACTTCCCTTGGCTCTACCTGTACTTATTAACAACTTTTCCTTACTTAAATTCTCCATTGGATGGCTCTCTCCTTTGTACCTTTTCCAGATGCACATAAAAAAACCCAGTGGGGATTATGGGTAAGCAGGCTGTGGGAAGCGAGGTGCCCCGACGGGAATCGCAGCTATGAATAGCTATCAGTGTACGGCTGCATCGACGATGGAAAAAAAATAACCACAGGTGAAACAAACCGTTCAACCCCCACTCAATAACCACATTAATCCGACGAGATAATCAGCGTTCACCGCCGCTGTGTAAATACATGCTGAAACAAGGCAACGGCACTATTGAAAATGTTACAGCCATCCTACAGACAGGTCTAAAGCTGTGTCCACACCTTAGCGATCTGTCGTGCACCTTGGTTGCTTGCAACGGAAGAGATTTACGTGTGGAAATCTCCGTTGTCCGTTGCAAGCAGTTGCATCATAAGTTGCTTACAGTAGACGCGACTTCCAAGCGATCGGCTCAGTGATTTATCGTGACATAACACGAAATAATCATCAGCATCATTGCGCATCATTGTGGAGGATATAAGTAACAAAATAGCATCCTGGAATTACATAATTTCAACAACGCTGATTTAATTTGCAGAGTGTGCCTTGCAATCGAACCGACACTGCTGACATTTATGCACTTCCAGAAGGCCGTTGGGGGCCGTTGAGTTATATTGTTTAGTGGCGAGAGTTCACCAGGTTACATTTGCGAACTATGATCGGTCAAATTTCGATTTAAAGCTTTCGTGACTGCAGGGATTCATCTTCTTGGTTCTTTCGGCAAAGTCACGTATTTCCATTCTATGATCGGTCACTCTGATTGGAGCTGACCAGAACAATGTGCGAGTAGTGACGTAGGAGGGAGCGTGGTCAGACGCGCACGAGGCACGCTCGGGAAACATCCTTGGCACTCTATCACCTTTTTGCTCAGATGCGGACAAAGCTGTTGCAGGCGATTAGGTTGTGCCATTTTGCGAGAGAGGGATTTGGTTGTGCGACAGATCACTCAGGTGTGGATGCACCTTAAACAATGTTGGAGACACCCCCATTGAAATGTCCAAATATGAGTGCTGTATCAATCGTGGTAAACATAATATGAAATGTCACATAGCAGGCGTAGTCTCACTTGGTCATACATAAAAAAAAGAAATAACCACATTGTGTAGACTTCAACCATCTTGTTAAGCAATTAGTTTTATGGAGGTAGGAAGCAGAAGTTAATGCTGACACCAAAATAGCTCATACATTTTAAAATAACAAGTTGTCGTGTTTGATTAACACTAATTTACTAAAACTAGTGAACGTCTGTATCTGCTCAATATACAAAATGTGCTTCGTAAAAAAGTAGTTTACTTTTAAAGTTGTCGAGAAATTTAGGCCAGAAAATTGTAATCCTTAGGGAAAATGGTTAAAGTCCATTTACAATTAGGAATTGTGAAATATTCCAAAGCTATTGATAGGAGCTCACATAATTAATGTTGCCAGCTCTTAATTAGCTGTTGTCTTGTACCAATTACCTCTGTGATAGATAGACACCCAATAAAATAGAAGTTACTTGCTAAGTTCTAAAGCGCATTGGCGAAATTCTACAATTCATTAATGCATATTAGGCAAGTATCAATCTTCATACAAAAACATGTTCAAAGTGTGATGCTGTATAAGTGCTGACATAAAAACACACGTTACATTTTTTTAATGGTACAATTCTATATTGTACTTGATGATAACTGGTGGTAATGACAATAAACTTGAACTGTTAGGGAGGGTTTAAGTGCCTTAGCATTAATTGCTTGTAATAATCAAATTGGGGATGAACGTTATACATTTTTGGTTGTATTTTTGTTTATATTGCTTTGGCCATTTGTGTCTGTGTGTTTTTACTCCCAAGGTCTCTACATTGCCAGAAAGTTCACCCAAAAAAATTCGTTTCATAAGATCAAGCCATGATAAACGTTACTGGCAGTCAGACTACCCTGGCAAGTCCCAAAGGTAGTCATGCTTTTATTGTTTTGCTCTTATTATGTTTTGTGTTGACATCTCATGAGCCAGAAAAAAGACTCACACACCACAAGAGTGTTGGAAGGATCTTGAGTAAATGAGTACATTCCTGTGATTAAGATAATTATTTTGGGTTCATCTGCAGTTAGAGGAAGCTGGATGTTTCCTTGCTTTTCCGCTGCTTAGAAGACTGTGATGTTTTGAGGACATGAAGCCATGAGCAGAATAGCATTACGTTGTTTTAAAACATCCACTCATTCATCTTTTCCTTACAAAAGAAAAATGGCTATGGTTCTTGGTAGGTTTTTTTAGTCATGTTAAAAGATTTACATTTGCTTGGCAGTTTCTTGGAACCCATTTCTTGAAAGGTTGCCATATTCTGACACATCTTCAGCAACTCCAATTTCCTTCTGTATCTTTAAATATATATATAAAAAAAAAACTTTGAAGACATGTACAGTGGTCAGTAAAAAAAGAATAGTTTTTGGAGAGAGAGAGGAAAAAATAAAGGTATTTTCATCAAAAAAAGTTCGATTATTTTCAGTGGTTGCCTTAACTTGTGCATGGACTTCTTAAGAACGCTGGCTGAATGGTAGGGCGCACAGGGGCAAGCAGAGCCATTTGAACGAGCAGGCCATCCGCAGGAGGTGCGCAGGCCTAGGATTCTCTGCAAGCCTGGCAGCAACGCAAGCGGTAGGTGGGCAGTTGGCAGAGGTTCAGCTTTTGCACCATCTCACAGTACCGGCTGCTGTCCCGGCACTCCGAGGCTAAAAACACAAACAACAATGATCATTATTAATGTGATGATTATTTTTATTGAGCAAAGCAGGCGAGTCTTTAATTCCCTCTTCGGGGAGATGAGGTCAGCGATAGCAATAAATTATGATCCTTTTAAGGAATACAAACTTAAGGAACCGTGTGATGGAGTCTACCTACATTTGTTGCCCTAAGCCAGTGGTGGAAGTTTACTTTAAATATGCCAGCCACTGTTCATTGTATTGACCAATGACCGGCACTTGAATGCGTAGCCTTCTGATAGCGAGTCGAGCACTATTACCAATAACCAACCACGTCACGTCGTCCGATGATGAGACAACACAAGTACTCTATCAGGAGCACTCAATCGCGTCGCGAGAAAACGCAATGAGTTACAATAAGAGTGCAAGACTGATGGACACTGTGACATTACTAGTACACCAAAATGTTACGTAAAGGCTAAGAGACGCCTATTGCATAAATAATTGCATAGTCTGCTCAGACAGGAGGGAGACATAGAAAGCTTCTTTTGCAAATTCCTCTTCTGAAACCCATCATCCCGTTGACAGAAAACTTATTCTGAAATATGAAATAAAAAAACAAACAAAAAAGCCTCCATCTCTGACTTCCATTCAAAATCAACAAATCCACACATTAGTCGCTGATGGTGCAGTTCCGCTCATGGCAGAAAACATTCACAAGGATAAAGCTGCACTCTGCCGCTGCTTAAAAGAGCTGCAGTGGCGGCTCTGAATTAGTTTGCCGAAGCTGCATATCCTTGTCGCAGGAGCCAGTACATCCACGGTACGATGACTGTCGACGTACCTGTAGAGCAGTGCATGAGAGAGGTTCCTCAATTCACAAATACGGCAGGTGGACAACTACAAGAACATTTAACAGCCCGCGACAACAAGGCTACCCAAGAAAGATTGATCATTCTAAACTAAACTATAAAATATTTTTAATTTTTTTCAGAAGTGACCTGGCCACAAATGATAGCTCAACAAAGTGGCTTATCATGTGGAAATGCATAGCAGCTAAATACTTGAAAGGCATGTTTCTAAATGTGGAGGGAAAAACCGGAGGATCCGGAGAAAAGTCCACGTGATCACACGGAGAGAGACACGCAAACTCCAAATATACAGGAGTCAGGGTCGGGATCGAACCCACGATCTCCTGTCAACAAGGCGAGGTAGTTAACATCTCAACACCATGGTGAGATGCTATCTGCCTAGCACAGCTCGCGCACGCACGCGGGTGCGAGCGCGCGCGTTCGCCGCTCACTCGTGGCGCAGGGCGTGATGTTGCAGCGCTGCCACGTCGCGGGCTTGTGCTGCCATGCGCAGTGCGCGTCGGGGGCGGGGCGCGCCGTGCGCACATGGGCACACTCCACGCGCCGCGCCTGGAAGCCGTGCGTGCCGCAGCTCGCCGTGCACACGGCCCAGGGGCCCGTCCGCCACTGCACGGCGCACGCCTCCACGCTGCAGTTCTGCACCGAGCCGGGCCTGCGTGCGGCAGAGGTTGACGCGCACGTGCGGGTGAGGGTGCGGCCTTGCAGTGCACGGCTCACGTCCACTGCTGGCGGTAGGGCCCCCACTCGAGAGGGCTCTATAGAGCATCTCGAGAGAGTATTTGGGCTACTCTTCCACGCTGGTCAGCGCGTCTTGTGGAGTACCCACACTTTTATTCTACCACCAGCAACCTGCAGATCGACTGTGGTTTGCCTATTTATGCTGCTGGTAGACAAAGGCAGGGGGATATAAAAAAAAACACTTGACCACTGATTTTACTGTCGTGCTGGGAACATCAAAAAGATATGAACACGTTAAAAAAAACAAGAGAAAATAGGGAAAACTTTAAAGCACATCATGGCCAACCTTTAGATTGAAAGTTACGATGGGAAACCTGTTGCGCTCCAAGGTTTACGAAGTCACAGAAAGCTATCTCACCTTGCCTTGCTGGCACAGTCGCCCTCAGGTGCAGCCGTGCCATTGTGCAGGAAGCAGAGGACTCTCCGATGCTGAGTTCCGATGCCAAGTCCAACGCACCGGCCTGTACACTGAATGCACAAAGAAAATAACATACCCCCCGTAAAGCCTTTAACAGACTTGGGACAGGTTGTGTTAGCGAGCACCTATTAAGGCCAACGCAGCACGCAAGGTGGTAGGTGGCCACCACCATGCCCGGCCACCTTGTCTCCCCACTGCTAATGTTTACACACTGCACCAGGCACTCTTTTTAATGATAAATCGACATAGCAGAGGCCCAGAACTAGTTTAGATATTCGTCACCAATCTTATCTGTGAGCAGCTTGTGAACTTGAGTTGTTGGGATTGTAGTGCAGTGATTTAAGAACTAGCTGACTGCAACAACATCCACCGTTCGCCACTAAGTGGCGGTGACGTCACCACGGCGTTTGTGCCAGGCCAAGTGCACGTTAAGGCCACATGAAGCGTCGAAAGCCCGCTAGCAGGTCACGAGACACACCCAGGTGCCGTGCGTTGACTGACCGAGATGACTGACCAATGCTCACTGCAAAACAAAGATCCCTCATATAGCCTGAACACACTCTTGTGGCAAGTGCTGTTAGCACCAATGAATGCCAGTATGGCACACGAGGGGGTGGGTAGCCAGCACTATGCCCGGCCGCCTTTGTCTCTCCAGTGGCAATGTTTCCACACCACACCAGGTACTCATTTGAGGCTGAGTCAACCTAGGGGAGGCCCAGTACCGGTTCAAATAATCGTCACTGGTGTTGGCCGTGAGCGGGAATCGAACCCGGCTCGCCAGGTTCGTAGTGCAGCGCGCTAACCACTACACTACCGCTTACTGCACACACACCCACACAGACCAGAGAGACGTCAGCGAATACCTCATGGATACAATTTTTTTGTGTTGTTGCAGATGATAATATACTAAAGATAATGATAAGTAAGATTTCAGTGATCATGAAAACAATTACCATTATCCCAACAATAACATTAAATTTCGATTTAAAGCTTTCGTGACTGCAAGGATTCATCTTCTTTGGTTCTTTCGGTAAAGTCACGTAGAATGAGAATAAAATAATAAATTGATAAAATAAAATAACACAATAATATTCTCACGACGTTTTGGCCACAACACAAGCGGCCTTCATCAGGTGAAGTGACGAGACTGTCTGGTAGGACAGCGCTGTCCTACCAGACAGTCTCGTCGAAGGCCGCTTGTGTTGTGGCCGAAACGTCGTGAGAATATTATTGTGTTATTTTATTTTATCAATTTATTATTTTATTCTCATTCTACGTGACTTTACCGAAAGAACCAAAGAAGAATAACATTAAACATCTAATGTAACATACATTTTACATTCTTTGTCAATCCACCACAGGAGGAAGGTTTCCCCACCTCTGCCAGTTGTGGAGAATGTTTGTCCATAGTTCACGACACTGCTGAGTGCAGGTTAGTGAAGGGGGGCACAGGAGTGATTCATCTAACACTCGCCATTCATGTTAACCTTTGATGGGAATCTAACGAAGGTTTCCGAGCTCCTAGCGCAGTACGGTAAACCACTGTGCCAACACTCCCCCCTGCCTCGATGATAATTCTAAAAATGATTGTTATGATGAACATAAAGACAACACTGATGATGAAATGTATCATGACATTCATAATAACATCATGATCACAAAGATGACGATGCAATTGAGCCATCGTAGTTATGAATATTACAACAACAATAATTATGATGAATGACGATAATTACGATAACAATGACGATGCCAATTCCTCGTGCTGCAGGACAACACCAGAGCGGTGTACAAACAGAGAGAGGGGGGCAGTGCCGGATGATCCTCATAGCAAAAGTGGCTACAAATGCTATTGGCCCCGCACTTTCAATGTCCCCGCGCTAAATGCTTTCAAGCTAGCAATTCCGCTTCAGTGATTCTACACTTGCTCTATTACTATAGTACTATTCCGCCTTAAACTTGTATGAACGACTGGGTATTTAAGGTTAGCGATTGGTCGCATTTATTATTAGCAAATGAAAAAATACAATGACTTTACTATGCAAGTTAATTTTTTTTTAATATTTGTGTGTTTTTTTTTACTTATAACATAATGCTACAGGCCCCGCACTAGCTTCATCCGGCACTGTGGGGAAGGAGGGGGGGGGGGCAGCAGCACCACGCCCGGTTGTTTCCCACCACCAGCCCCCCCATCCCCACCTCTGCCCAGGCCCCGACGGCCCACTCGGGGCAACCGTGGCGCTTGCAGGGCTCGGCTCGCGCCGGGCGCTCCGCCCCCCTGCAGCTGTAGTCGGGCAGGGCGGTGGCGCCAGCCGGCGAGCGGCAGACGACGCTTCGCACCCGCACGCCTGCGCCGCACGCCTCGGAGCAGTCAGACCAGGGCCCCGTCACCCACCTGCACGCACAGGGGCCGCGACCGTGTTCAGGAGTCGTCTCTGTCTCTGTGTCTCTCTCTCTCGAGAGAGAGAGACAGGACACGCCGGGGGAATGTCTGACAGTGGTTCTATTTAAACATAAGTGATTCTGTAGCTGCACTTTTTAAAAAAAAATACCTACTATAATGTTCCCTTATTTATTACAAGACAATTGAATGTAAAATATTTTAGGCGTTTTAGGTATTATCGTCTTGTTAATTATTCTTAAGTGGAGTACTTTTTAGGTCATTTTTTTAAACATTTGATCATTTTACTCTGGAAAGAAAATAACTTTTATTTTGTTCTAAGTGGTTGTTTATGAAGCGGCTAACATTTTAAAATTCATATTTGGGTATTTTATATAAGCTATAAACTATTTTAATTTCATCAGGTAAGGCCCACTGAGCTATGTATATTTTTTTTCAGAAGCGACCTGGGCACAAATGATAGCTCAATTAAATGGCTTATCATGTGGACATATAAATAATCTAAAGGCTTGTTTTAAAATGCGGAGGGAAAACCCGAAGGACCCGGAGAAAAAATCCACGTGTCCACGGGAAGAGTGAACACGCAGACTCCAAATATAGAGCAGGCGTAACGGTAGGGATAGAACCCATGACCTGTATACCAGGCGAGGTAGTTAACATCTCCTGGCCACCGTGGCGCCCACCACGTCGGTCAATGCAGGGTGGTGAAGAGGGCGACTCACGACCGGTTCAGATATCACTCGCAGCTTTATGATAGCCGTTGCTGGGTATCTAACTCAGGATGCTGGGTTCATAGCGCAGTGTGCTAACCACAGTGCCAAAACTCCCCCCTTGTCTCAGCGATAATTAAGATAATTATCGTCACGGTGAACATAAAGACAACGATGAAGATGGTATTGATATTACTAATCTGGCTAAAAAGGCATCAAATAAGTTTGGTTTTCTTTTCCATGTCAAAGCCTTCCGACTATGAGCAATTGTTTTTACGATACAAAGCACACTCTGAGCTGAAGTTGTTTTTCTCAGGGGCCCCAGAGTGGAGAGTGGCATCTTTAGCTGTAAGTTAATCTCTACGAACGCTCTCTTTCTCCTCCAAAGAAGGGCCGTTACCCAACGCATAAGATTCTTATATATTTCTCTTGCCATAATGTAGTATTAATGGAAAATATGGTAATTTTGTTGTTGTTCCTGGACACTTTAACAAGGCAGAGGTTACGATGCTGGAAATTTTCCTATGGCGTATCGTCGACTTCCCCATGAAGAAAAATCACATTTAATTTCACGGTGAATCTCGCGAATTGGAAATTACGGATAAAAGTGATGAGAAACTAAGATTGCGCCCGCACGTGACTTCTACACAACATAAAGCATATCAATTGATTCATTAAAAATTGATTGAATTGAAAATGCTGTTGCGCAAACGTTGGCCTGTTACATTTTATTGTGATTTTTATTGTTTGGCACATTTTATATTCACGTTTTTTCAACGTGTGACCTTTGCACCACGTTGAATTTACTGCACCCGCGTGAGCATTTTGTCAACCTTTGAAACAAATGTGTTTTGGTTTCTGCACTTAAACATTTGTTGTGAAATTTGCCTCTTATTATTTCACAGTCCTCCCCCCCCGCCTCCCTGCAAGACCGAGATATTCATCTTGAGCGCCACTCGGCCGGTTCTAAAGCAACACTCAATCAATGGTTTAATCAAACCACTCTGGATGACTTTATGATGACACAGTATCGCACTGCTGGGAATTCATGGCGGGGCCAACGCTGTTGTGCGTTTGGTTTTGATTATGCAGCTATTGCAGCTGATCGTTTCGCGTTGACAGAAAAACATCAGATCGTGCTTGTTAACAGCATTGTATGATCTCTAACGCACAGAAGAGGGGTCAATAACTTACACTTGTGTGATATAGCATGGCACCTCATTTCATATAGTAGGTTTGCCAAACTATTTGCTCTCAAAAGGAAAAACGTTATTATATTTAAGCTTGCCTTCTGTTGGCATCCGTCATGAGAGAAGAGAAGTAGGTGGCTATGGGAGTCTTAGTGAAGAGTCTACTCACCACAAAGGTGATGTAGCAATGCTTACCACATTGGAGCCCTGGAACCCACATCAGTGTCGAGTCACCGTTCTCAAGCGCTTGCCTCTGCTCGGGGCTCCGAGTCAGCAGTAGGGAATTCGACCGAGTAGACTTCTTACCCCAAATTTAACTTGTGAACTTCTGCATATCAATCAAACACTGCCACAATTCCACCTTGCCCAATAGCACTGGCATATATCCCATAACATCATCCATCCACAGATATAAACACGTCAACACAGCGCATTTTGCCTGACGGCTACGACGGCTCGCTTGGACCCGGGTTCGCCAACGGGGGCCGCGCATGTTTTTTTCCTTGTTTTTTTCCGTAAGCGGTCAAGAAGGAGCTCACCATGGCTGACAGCCGACGGCTGGGCACGGGGAGTTGGTCGGCAGCTGCGGCCTGGGCAGGAGGCTGCAGAAGGCGTCGCTCACGACCGTGACGTTGTCGCGCACGCACCGCGGCGCGGGTGCGCCGCGCGCGCTCGCGTTCCCGCAGCTCGCGGGGCAGCTGGCCGTGTCGTTCACGAACCACCGGTGCTCTGGGTAACAAAAACGTTTGCCGTCGGCGACGACGTCAGCGGCCAACGCACCTCGCCGTTTCGTCGTGCGTCGCCTCGTTTGTGTCGTGGCGAATTCGGCGAAGGCGAGGTCAAGAGGGGGGGGGGGGGTGGTGGGGGGGTGCTCTCTTGTGAAAACGAGCAACGACACACACCGCAGTTGGCGGCGTCTCGGGGGATGCGGTTAACATTCCACACTGCTATGGAAAGGGACCGTTGTGCCATAGGAAAACCACTCTTTTGTTTTCTTCCCAAAATAGTACTCGTTTTATTGATTCCAGAGGGATGTTGGTCTGGGTCAAACCTTGGCAGAGACTTAAACTCATCACCTTCCTCTTGTGATCAAAACACACTGCCACAAAGCCACCCAAATGGATATAATGATAACACCATATCGATAAATATAATATTCACTTTTGAATTGGTGTTTGTTTCATAGTGATTCAGCATACCAACATCAAAGTGTCCCCTTGCAAAAACGAGCTTTGAGCCTGTGAACGATTTCCAGTCTTGCCTCCGACAGGAGCAAGTCTCTCCATACGACGAACACGCCTGACCTCCCACCAAACGCCGCCTCATTCTCATTTTTACGATGATGCCTGTTTGCCCAGGAGACCCTCACTGCGTTTCAAGACTCCTTTTAAGGAGGCTCCTGCCGAGTGTTTTTTACGCAGTAGGGGGCCATGCTGTTGCTATGTGTGATCCCTATTGAATAATTATTATTTGCCGGCAGATTTTCAGCATTGGGGTGTTTTGGCCAGTACTAGTTACATAATACGTTCTTATAAGATTTGGAAGGAAATAGAACTCGGAGGAAACTCATGCAAAACAGGGGAACACACAAACTCTGCACAAAAGGCACGAGTCGGGAATCCAAACGAGGTCCTTCTTGCTGTGAGGCACGAACATTACCACTGCACCACCCAGCCTGCCATGATGATGTCGTCATCATCACCATGATGACATTAACATCTTGATCATGATGATGGTGGCTAGGATTTGAACTCAGAGCTTCTGAAATGACAGCCCTACATGTTTTACCAAATTAGTAATATTCTGACTTGTGCAATGACCGATTGATTTTAATTATTGTACCGTTTTTTTTCCCTGGTAAAGGTCAGTCGTGTGTTACCTCTCAGTCACGGTAACAAAAAGCATGTTGTTTTTAATTCATCCGTTATTTATTTAACAATAGTTTTTTTCTTCACATTGCACAGTTAAAAATCAATGTTGCTTTACAATTCCGAAAAACCGCCAAACGCATGTACATATCTATTATTGGTATCATAGACTATTATTTCAGAAAACCACATGGGGCATTACAAAAAAAGAACAAAAGCTTTTCAAAGACCTCATGGATAGACAATTTCCAGTTTCCTGTGACTCAAACATTGGCTGTGAGAGGCTGTTCCTGTGTTCAATGAGGCATCACTTTACGGCACGTTAAGCATCTTCAGCTTAATTTGAACCACCGTATTTATTCGCTTTCACAGTGAGAGCGCCGATGTTGCACAACGGGCAATTTTATACAATATGGCCACCACTCAGCTGCTTGCAATTTGGTGTGGCGAAATCTGAATTGATTCACAACACCGTGTGCCGTAAACCACGGTTCTGTTAAAGTCTACAGATATGGCAGACGTATTGAACTTGATAGTTAAATATAATGCGAGCACTTATACAGATTCACACCACTGTCTGTTGACGAGTAAATTGTTTTTGTTATTTATGGAATGCTTCTCGCGACTGTGTTGCCTACACAATCAGTAATTACGAATAACTCCCGAGTATTAGTCCTTACACTATCTGCTATGATTGATTATAATCAGGAGTGGAACAATTCATTTAGTCATCGCTTAACATTGATGACTTTAAAAGGTCACAATACACGCATGCATCGCATCGCAGAGTGTGCAGGAATCAACGCTTTCAGGTTCGCATGTGCTGTAAGTAATAGGTTTGCATCACCCCCGCAAGTATTGGAGGTGAAGTACTATCTTTCCCCGTAATGTAAAAACAAAAAGTATCGATTCTTGGATTGCATCGTGATCCTGAATCGTGAAAATTCCCCCGAACGGCGGAGCAGTTGAATCATTCAACCCCTAGTTACAAGACATGCTTTACATCTGCCTCAAAGCATAACGAAAATTAATACCGTACACTCCCTTCGCACATGTTAAAAACAGCACGTTGACTGAACCAGCGCCGCTGAGACCCTGTGTATCCAACCAAGTCTGGGCTGCTGCTGTGTGTCTTGCTCTGAGTCACTTGTTAGGAACATGTTAAATATTGGTCGATGTGATGATGATGGTAGTGGAAAGTCTGAGCATACATGCAGCCTCCACATATTTAAATGGCAAAGCTTCACGGCATTCTCCAGAGTACATGGCACAAGAGCCTGGTGTTGATGTGTAAGTGAACACTTATCAACACGCATATTCATCGTGAATGTATTCAATGCGGGAATTCTTAGAGAACTTCAACTTTTAAAAACTGCTTGCATGTGCTCTGTGCTGAACAGCATTACACAGGTCGCCTCAATTTGAATCAATTGGCTTCACGGATAATTAAATCTTCACTTGTAAATTGTCAGCATCGCAATCACGCAATGCCTAAATAGACATGGTGCGGTAATTATTGATTTGAATATTTTACACACGTGCTCAGGAGATGATGATTATGATGAATTGGCTGCCTCTCGTTAATGTTCCTCTGCAGTTTATTTCTGATTATGCAAGCCACAGGGAAAAGGCAGGTTTGTCAACTGCAAGCCAACATCAATACCCATTCCCAGCCAAGTTAAACTCTTCTCTAATAATTGGATTTTCTGGAGTTTTAAAATAGCCAGTGGTACAATACCAAATCCACTTTTAAAATGTTGAGTTTCCTATATAGTCAATGACCCACTTTTAGGCTACGATTATTGCTTTTAAATGTATAAGAATAGAAAGGTATATGTCAAGAATTCGCAAGTTTGACCTCTTTGGCAAGGCAGTTGAAACAATGGAGCAATATTCTTAAATACTTTCCACCTCTGTCCACCCAGCAGCATAAGTGAAAGCACCACAGGTAATCGACCGGTAGTTCGTATGTGGTGGGATGAAAGTGTGAATACTCCCATCTCTTCCAAGCCAACTGGTCAGTGTAGAAGAGTAGAGAGGTAATGTACGTATGTATGTTGAACCTCTTTTGCACCATATGTAGTCAACCGTGCTAATCGGAGGTTCATAAAACGAGTGCCACTTTGCAGGCAGCAAAACAGTGGGTACCCTACTCAAAGTGAGGCTCCTAACCTTGCAACAGGGCCACCATTAATAGAGATGAGCATTCTCCAGTGTAGATTTTGTTATTGTCATTTTAAGATCTCAAAGATCTTGATGAGAGGGGAAAGGATTTGGAGAGGACGATAATGGTTCGGGTCATCTTTAGCACCACCTGTCACGGTGAGGGCGCAAGAGAGCCGATGTCCATGCAGGAGGGATGGGATGTGCTCCAGAATGGAAAGGTTAAACGCGTTGGGCTATCGTTTTTTTTTTCTTCCTAGCGTTGACTTTTATAACGGGTCGACGCTTCCGGGCGCGGCGTTCACAGACCTGCGGGCTGCACGGTGACGTTCGCGCTCAGGCGTCCGCTGGAGGCGAAGGAGGAGGTTGAGGAGGAGGCGTTGCCGTGGGCGTGCGACGGCGAGCAGGAGTAGTGCCCCGGGAGGCCGGCGCTCGCGGGCGGCAGCACCAGCAGACGGCCGCCCCCCGCAAACTCAGGGCCATCGGCATCCCTCTCCGCCGCTACCGCCTGGCCACCGTGCAGCCAAGTGACCGGCAGGAACGGGTGGCACACCACCGGGCAGCCTTTTGGTGGGCGGGGGGGGGGGGGGGGCGGGGGGGGGGGAGAAGTGCGAGAGAGAAACGACGCTAATCGCGGATGCTGCGGTCCACGGTCTGCTCTCCACGGAATGAGATTGGTGGCATGTTAATAATTCGGAGCCCCTTTTGAATGCAGGGCCTTACCGCAATCACGTATCACAGGCAGGCCTATCGCACAGATTTCAAGATAGCCAAAGTTCACCGAAAAAAAGTAGCTCTACTTTAAAGCATGGCTGAGCAGAAACAACACCCATCATCCCACGTAGGTGCTCAGAGACCACCACTTTATTGGTGCCAAATGGCAACGTTTCTCGCGTGACCTGCTGCGGAATTTGCAAGGAGTGTGTGTGTTGAGGCTTGCCCAGCGCTCCAGCCACGACTGCACGAGCCATCTGCGTTTGCAAAACATCGCCTTGTCATTCTCAATCAGCACAAGACCATTTGGATTACCCCCTCGTAACGCTGCCACATCCCCTGGATTAGGCTGGCCGCGGTTTCTTCTGTTTGATTTCGTGTTCGCCTTGGAGAGATGCCACAGGCGGAGGCCTGCAGAATGTGCCGTGCATATTTTCAGTCAGCCGTTCCGTGGCTCTCGAGTTGCAGAAACTCATGCACCATCCTCTCGTCTCAGCAGGCCCGGCGCGCGTCCGCGAACGAAAGACGCCCTCGAGCATGCGTGGCGCAGCGCTGAGCTGGCTCATTAGGAAACACCTCCGGCGTGAGCTCATGATTGCGGAGTTACAATCTCCATCGTCTTCTTCTTCTAGTTCCCACGAGTAAAAAGTAAAAAAAAAACAAGTAAACATGCAGCCCAAATAATTTCCCGCTCATGCCTCTGGTGGCAGCAGAGCCTCCATTCGAGAAAACTTCAGAGAGCTGCTCTACATGGTATCTTTGCCTACTCCTCCATGCTGGCCAGATGTCTTCGTCTCTGCTATATGTTTTACTTTTCCTCTATAGGCAGCCTGTGTCTATTCCTATATAATTTATACATGCACACATATCTGGACAAGTGGCACTGTGTTCAGAGCAATTCGAATCACAATTGCAAAACTTGATTGGGGGTTGACTTGGTCATCGTCTCCCTGGGGTTGACAAAATGAGTGCCACTTGGTGAGAAGTCTACAGTGTCCCATCCTACGGAGAGGATGACCTCCACCTTTGAATCGCGGGGAAAGTCCATCACTAGACTCGGAGCTGTCAGTAGAGTAAATAATAATAATTATTATTTATATTTATTTGTACGGCGCCTTCCACTAATGTATCAAGGCACCTTGTAGGGATAAGGATAATGAAAGGCCAAGAGAGAAGGAGAGCTACATAGAATACATTGACTTAAGACGTGTTTTAAGACGAGACTTAAAAGTATCCACATTATTGGATAAACGAACTTCCAATGGTAGGGAATTCGACAACCGCGGGCGCAGACACAGCAAGTGCCCGCTCACCACTTGAGTATGAAAACAATTTGACTTGAGTGATTGTTAGAAACAAAAATATTTTCTTCAAAGTATAACCGAATATTAAACTTGGCTCATTGTTGTACACCCAACAGCTAGTCTGGTTTGCGACATGGATTAAACATAACGTCGTCGTGTTCTCAATCTCTCTCTCTTTTCTGTATGGCAATTGAAAAGCAACTGACTAAACGTGAGAACTGTATGTTTACTTTGGTCATTCATTTGACGCTTGACCAGGAGTTCCTCGATGCACAGCGTTCGTAAAGGCCGTGTGTAAGCGTGGGCAGCGGTCGGTAGAGCAGTTTGAGAGATCTGATTTAAAGCGGTAACTTAACATGCATCATTGACAGAGGGCCGACACTTAAAAGGCATGCTAAGTCTAAAATATGATTTTTTTTTGAAGTAACGATACGGCAAATTTTATCCTGTATGTTCTTTATAACAAATGGCACACACAGGGTTTCAAAGTCATTTATCCAGAAGTGCAGATGTTATTGAAGTATTTGCTGATCAGAACCTTTTTTGTTGTTGAACACTGGAATTTTCCTAACTTGTAACTTCAACAAGTGAAATTGAAGGTACTCGAGGGTTCAAAATAATTAGATTGTATATTTTATCTGCATGTACCACTGCAGCAAGCCAAGCTGCGCTTGCAAATTCAACAAGCGATGCGCTCAGTGTACGATCCTGCAGATGCAATCTTGAAGATGTGGTTATGCCAGAAGACAAATCATATAAGTGCATTAATGTTGACTGGAAGTCCCGGAACATCAATGTAAAATAACGTTTTCTTTGTTTGTGGCTCGGCGAGAGCAAACTCACATGCGATATATTTTACATATGTGAACGAAACGCTTTTGTGAATTTAAAAGTTAATGTTTCTCCATGCCTAAATCAGTAATGGGTTGTGTTATTCACAAATAACAGCACAGCTATTATTAATAGCAGCACAGATATTATTAGTGAATAATAATTACATATTCAAATGGCAGCACCAGTGTTTTTCCCTTCTACAATCATAGTTGACTTCCCACTTTGTGGCAGTCATTTTATTGAACCCATCAATGATGATTGAATGAGTTCACACCTAACCCAGCTGAATTTTTAATAATTTAATAGCGATGCATTTCTAAATGTGGAGTTTTGGCTATGGCCCTGGCACACAATAGCCCAATTCTGTAAATAGTATCAGAGAATATGTAACATGTGCACTTCAAGATGTGGTCAGGTTGACTAATTTCTGACTGTGATTTTGACAACTGACTTACGAATGGTCCTGACTACCTCTCCGGTCTTTCCTTGCTTCACGATGATTTATTGTCTTAAGTCGTTGTGGAAATGGGGTTACGACTAAGCCTTGCCCTTCACTGGACTTGTATAATTGCACAAGCTGTTCCCTCTACTCACCCACCCCCCCTCCCTCAGGTTGAAATGTGCCTGCATCAAAGCTAAAAGAGCATTTATGTCCAGTGCTACGTTTTCACTGTTGTATTGTAGCAGTGGGGTTTATTCCAGCAACGCACATCCTGTGAAGAATACGTTAGTTGCCGACAGTGCATGAATCCTAGTGCATGCACTGTCAAGCCTCTGTTATATATTTAAGTTATATATGTTTTAAATACCAACACTGGGTTTCCCCAATCACTTTATTAATAAAATAAGTGATGTTCAATCACACTAAATACAATCATTCATAATGCAAGTAGTAGCATTTTTATGAAAAACAATCCACAAATGATGGATTTCACCCAGGATGCTACTTGTAAATTCAATGTATTTCACAGTACATAAAGCGAGCAGTGGTCGTTCAAGGGAATGAAATTTAGGAAGCTGCGAATTACCCAATTTATTAAAGTAGAAACAGGTAAATTTTGATCTTAAAACGCTACCTTTTTAAAATCCATATTTGCAATGAAAACCCAATTGTATGTGTGAGTATAGATTCTCATTGTGGTAGAAAATATTTAAATATTAATTATTTGTTTCAACTACTTATTTCGATGTCTACACAGGTGGCAAATTGGGATGCTTATCACACGTGCACACTTATATGTGATTAAGTTAAGGGGAAAAAAACAAATGGCTGCATTTATACATTTGTAGTGACTGACTTGGAGACGTAACTTCTTGGAGGCAATTATTTAATTAAACCGAGCACACTTTGTACACTTTATACAATACACACCCTACACTGTTACACACCCTCTGTCTTACACGCAACTCTACACTGGTTGCGAGCCTACACACAACGCTAGCCATCTGACAAAGACGACGCTGAACCGAGACAGCCAACTATGTCTAGCAGCGCTATTATCAAGTGGAGACGACAGCGACGAAGCGACGAGACGACCGTGGCGATGGCGACGTTCTTCAACAGCAGCAACGACAACAGGGATCCCACTCTAAACGACAGCCCCGAGGTCCCCTCCCGGGGCCCCTCTTATACTGTCAGCGTGGCCTGGCTCCGCCCCCGGCCACACCCCCCTTCTGGAACCTACTAGCGGGCTCTCGACGTGTCCCTTCCGTAACCTTTTCCCTAGATCCCTCTCGGGCCTATCACTGTGGCCTGCTGTCAGTCAGGGATGCTACAAGCTGCAGATCCTCTTCCCTGCCAGCAGCCAGCGCTATGCCAATTCTATGTCACTACACCTTCACAAGAACACTCATCACGTTGACAAAGTTTTTTGTTAAATTCATAAGGACCAATATAGCGAGGGCCAAAAGTTAGATACCTGAAAGGAGTTGCAGCAGCAGCAGCGTAGCACGAACGTGCTCAACGCAAAGCTTGTTTACGATCAAGATCACAATGAAAGTGTCAGCCACGTTTGTTTTCGCCCACGCGAGCCAATGTGCGATGATGTCTTGCTGGCAAAAACTTTAATGGGAAACCTAGATTATTACAGAAGAAGAATAGCGGAAGTTTTTTTCTTTCAGCGGAGTTACGTAAGTGCCTTATGTAAGTGTCATGTAATATGCCTGTTATAAAACAAAGGAACCGACAGATATATTTAATCAAGAACAATGATCACAACCTTATGATAAGTATTGGAAACGTTCTTAATGTATCCATGTAACCTTGTTGATTCTCAAGACTCTTTGAAATCCTCTTTGGGATTTCAGCTAATTCATTACTGAGTATGTTTATATGTCGGGGGAAAACTGGATTACAGGCATACGAGGGAAAAACAAAGATCCCCCTGTATAACCTTGACCGACTGTTGGGACCAGTGTTGTTAGTGAGCACCTATGAAGGCCGGCACGGCACACGAGTTGGTGAGTAGCCAGCACCACGCCTGACCGCCTCTTTCACCCCAGTGGTGATATTTACACACCACGCCAGGTACTCATTTGCGGCTGAGTCAACCTTGGTCAGGTCCACAACCGGTTCAGATAGTTGTCACCAATGTTGGCCGTGAGCAGGAATCGAACTCCGGTCACGTTAACCGCTGCACTACCACACGTAGACCCAAACATCCGCAGAGAGCTCGAAAACCGACTTGCTGCGCTACATGGCCACCTCATAGT